CACATGGACAAATGTTATGAGGCAAAAACAAAAGGGTGCCCACAACCGGCACACTTCCCTTACGAATTAAAAAAAATTGTGATAATCATGTCACTTTGTAATTAGGGGTTTTTGAGGTTGCTGATTACGAATCTGATATTCGTTTTTCAAAATTCAATATGGCGGATCCACTATGACGAACAAAAATTAAAAAATCATTGGATTAAATTTTTGATATTTCATTAGCAATTACCTTGATTTTATATGGATGATTTTCAAATATCTATCATATTTACATGATCCCCATAAATATCATTATCATATTTAAAATTAAGAAAATAGGGTTAAATGGACAGGTCCATGGCATACGTTTTTTAAAAATTTTATTGTGAAATTTTTACGTGATCAAATTTTCTGTAACAAAAATGTACTGAAATATATAATGAATTTTAAATTTGATTCACTATTTTATCGGAAAACGTCTTATTAAAAAAAATAACAGTTATTTGAAAATCACCAATATAGAGCAGAAATACTTTTGATACAGTTAGTTTTCTCGGTGGTTTTCAGGATCGCTGATTACGAATCTGATATTAGTTTCCCAAAATTCAATATGACGAATCCAATATGGATATAGAACAGAAATACTTTTGATACAGTTCGTTATATATTTTACATATTAAATTATTGAAATTTGTTACTCATGAGTTTTAGGGTTGCTGATTATGAATCTGTCGTCACTTTTGCAAATATTCAAATTTTAGAAAACTATTTACGGCATTTTAGTTAGTATATAACCCACGTATTATTTAACCCGTATAGTCCCAAATGTCCGTTTTTTAGTACAATTTCGAGCTTTCCGTTCTACAAGTTCCGGTTTAAAAAAAATCGTTATAATTGTTTAAACAAAACCCAACGGGAAGTTGCCAATGTTAACGATTGGTTCAATAATGGGCCATGCTTGGTGCCCAATGGTTTTTTCTTGGCAAAACAATTGGCAACCATCATTGGACCACCAATGGTTTAAACTTGGGATGATCACGCTACTGCCAATGATCGGTAGCCAAGCATCGGGCCAATATTAGTTGCCAAGGAATTGCCAAGGAAACAAAATCGATTTTCAAAAGCTTGATTTTTTATTGGCAGCCAACAAAAAACCAAGGTTTTAAAAATTGGTTTTTTTTGATTATTAATTAAAATTTATTTTTAAAAAATATATTTTTCAAAAATTTATTTTTTAAAAATATATATTTTTTTAAATTAATAGAACATATTAATTTAATTTTTCACCTCTGGTAAAACAAAGGTGAAAGACTGATAAAAATTCCCTCACCGTATCTCACAGTGGAGGGATAACTGTGAATGTCTTTGCGAGAGAGGAGCAGGTACTTATATAGAGCCAGTGAAACAGGTCACAAGCGAGAAAAAATCACTAGCATGCACTCTGGCGGCGCTTGTCGGAACTGTTTTCTGGCGCGCATGCATATCCTGACGTTATCGACACAGCGCTTGGCAACCAACGTTGCGCCACTTCCGACAAGCGCCGCCAGAGTGCATGCTAGTGATTTCTTCTCGCTTGTGACCTGTTTCACTGGCTCTATAAGTACCTGCTCCTCTCTCGCAAAGACATTCACAGTTATCCCTCCACTGTGAGATACGGTGAGGGAATTTTTATCAGTCTTTCACCTTTGTTTTACCAGAGGTGAAAAATTAAATTAATATGTTCTATTAATTTAAAAAAATATATATTTTTGAAAAATATATTTTTTTAAAATTAATTTTTGAAAAATATATTTTTTGAAAATAAATTTTAATTAATAATTAAAAAAAATCAATTTTCAAAACCTTGGTTTTTTGTTGGCTGCCAATAAAAAATCAAGCTTTTAAAAATCGATTTTGTTTTCTTGGCAATTCCTTGGCAACTAATATTGGCCCGATGCTTGGCTACCGATCATTGGCAGTAGCGTGATCATCCCAAGTTTAAACCATTGGTGGTCCAATGATGGTTGCCATTAATGTTCCAATAATGGAACGGAGTTCGCCAAGCATGGCCCATTATTGAACCAATCGTTTACTTCCCATTGGGAAAGAACCGTTTTTAGTGTTATTTCTTTAAATCAGATTATTTAATCGAAATCGGTTTGGAAAAATTCGAAACATCAAAATATTGCGTCCAAAATGTTAAGACTATCAAATATGTTTGATGCTGCCAAAAACAAATTTTTTCAAATTTAAAAATGGCGCCTCAAAAATGTCCACTAAAATATTTAAATTTAGAAAAATAATTTTTAAAAATGTTAACACTATTTTTTAAACTTTTATGCTTCATTTGAATAAAATAATGCTGCTTCAACAAAAAATATTGTTATTTGATGTTATTTAACAATATTATAAACAATTTGAAAACCATGGGCTAAAGTTTAATCAAAAAGTTTATTTTCATCAATTCTTTTTTTTTTGGGGGGGGAATGGATACTAAAAGTAAAAAAACTTAATTCGTCGGTTGGGTGCAGAAAGGTGCCAATTTAAACTAGTCTTGAAAAACGTGCCGTTTCAAAAAACATTTGAAAAATCTGCATTTGAGCTGAGATTGGGAAAACATGCAAACTCCGAAATCAGATCAAAAAAAATAATAATTATGCAAAATTTAACTAGAAAAATCACTTTTGTATAACTTTATAACCTTTTCTTCAAATTTTTTCTGTACTGACAAGTGTCAACCTAAGATGAAAAAGATGAACGTTAATTCTGAGTTGGCATGTTTTTCAAATCTCAGTTCAAATAGCAGGTTTCTCACTTGTTTTTTGAAACGGCACGTTTCTCACGACTAGTCTGAATTGGTACCTTTAAACCTATAAACAATTTTTATAAACAATTTGCAAAACATGAAATAGAATGGTAGAAAAAAATTAATTTTGCTTTCTCATAAAGGAAGCTTTGTATTAGCAAAATTTTGGATTGTCATTTTTTGACATATTTATAAATTTTTTTTTATTATGCCTAATACTTTAGTACTTTATATATGCACAGGAACTCCCCGTATAAATGTTCTAAATAAATAAAAAAAAATTTCGACGTATTTTGACCTCCGAAGTCCAAAAAACGGATTTTAAAAATTTGTCCCGTTGTGTGTGTGTGTGTGTGTACTAACATTACATTTGCCTCAATATCTCAGAACGAGAAAGAGCTAAAGGCCAAAATTTTTTTTAAATTGTAGGTCTCCCCGGGGGACATAAAATGAGAGTATTTTCAACCCGATTCATGAAGTTTAACTATTTTTTTTTGAATTTTTCATTTTGTGAAAAAACGTTTTTTTGGCATAACTTAAAAAAATGTTAGGACACTCATAAATATTTTCCTTTACTTTTGTAAAGTTTTTTCAGACGCATCTTTTGAGCCCTAATTGAACATTTTTCGTTAAACGGAAATATTAAACTTTAAAAAATCAAAAATTTTAGAAAATAAGACTTTTTTGAAAATTTTGTTGAAAAATGTAGAAGTTTAGTTTTGTTTTGTATTTAGTTTTGTAGAGTTTTTTCAGACGCATCTTTTAAGCCCTAATTGAACATTTTTCGTCTATATTAACTGAAGATATTAAACTTTTAAAAATCTAAAATTTTGAAAAATAAGACTTTTATAAATTTTTTTTAAAATTATGTAAAAGTAACTTCAAAAAATTATTACCAACTTGAAGAGCATTAAAAAACGCTTCGATTGACCTACATATTTTTGAACCTGATTCGGGCAGAAATTATGAAATTATTGGTATTTAAAAAATAAAAAATTGTGGAAAACATCATTTTTTCAACATTCCTGTTTATTAACTTATGTGTAATTATTAAACTATTATTACCATCTTATAGAATATATAAAAACACATTTTTTGAACCAAGATTTAATGATTTTTAACCCTTTTATAAAAAGTAATTCTTATATTTCAATTATTATTATTTCTATGAGGAAGCAAAGTGTTCATGAAATGAACACCAAAATTATAAAAATGTACAACTTGGCAGCGGTTTTTAATTTTATTATCCTTTCTTGTAATCAAAATGTTGCTTGAGGTTTAAAGTTTAATTTAACATTATTTAGCATTATTTAAAAATATTATTGTATAAACAATTTTTATAAACAATTTTCATAGAAAAAGAAGTTTAGATTGGAAAGAAATTTTTTTTCACTATTTACTTGATTTATCATTAGAATAGATATTTAAACGACAAAACTTTGTCAGTAATTATTTTAATATTCTAAAAAAATTTCTAGTTTGATTTTTTATTAAAAGTACAAACAGCATGAACAAAAAATGAATAAATTTTAATTGACAGTTTTACTTCCCTTTCTTTATCCACCCGTGTAGAAATTTGACCATGGCCCAACTCGGGGCCAGATCTTTTGATCATTGTGTAGGCCATAACATGGCAATTTCTACATGTGCATAATTAATTATTTACATAAAATACAAAATAATATATATCTACATTAGGCAATCAAAACATTATGACACATTAAAAATAATATTCTTTAATACTGTTAAAATTTTCAACATTTTAAGTCCTATTACCTACCTATAAAAGCCTAGTAAATTTTTTTAACAATCCTTGAATTACATTAGAATCTTCATATAACAAGAAGTTCAAAAAACGAGTATCATGCAAAAAGATTTGGTTTTTCAAAAATGCATCTACCTTATTGGATTTTCTATTTAAATTTTTTTAAAAATTATTTCAAATTCGTAATCAGCAAAATAGGGAACGCTTAAATGTCAAACGACATTAAAATCTGATGATTTTTTAAAAATTTGGTCCGCTATTTTGGATTCGACATTTATAATTTTTTTAAACTATCTTCAGATTTGTAACCACAGGACACATGATATATTTAAATAGGACAATAATTTATCAAATTATCGTACTGCAAAATTATTTTTATAATTTTTAAAATATAATAATATGTATATATATATATATATATATATATATATATATATATAATTGTGTGTTTTTTAAATTATTTTTTAGAAAACAATGGTAACCATGAAGTTATTAAATTAATACCCAGCATTAAAAACACATGCCAAAAAGACGAAGAAGAAAGTGGAAAAGGAAACGAAAAAGGAAAAGGAGAAAAAGAAAGCGAAGGAGAAAGAGAAAAGGAAGGAGAAAAAATGGACTTCAGTAATATAGACGAACATCTCGACAACTATGATGAAAGCATATTATTAAACACGAACTTAGATTCTATCAAATTTTTATCCGATCCTACAGAAATCGAAAAATTGCGTAAGTCATATAAATTATTATTTCTAGAATTGATTACAAGTCAAATATTTAACAAATATTTTCCTTCATTATAGCTGCTCTTTTTATTGTTTCTCTAATGAAAAAATTTTCTTTTCATAACGCAATCATAAAAATGGCGTTATTTGTCTCTCCGTAGGCCAATGTAAAGTTATTCTTTTTAGTACGTAGTTACGAAAATACTGCGAATGACAGTTCAGTTCAAAAAAGAGCTTTGTTTGTGCTTGTTCGAGTATTTTTGTAACGCTCGAGTAGTTGCAATTCCGTCCAGAAGAGGCGTGATTATGTTTTCGTTCAGTTAACTACATTTACCGTGTCTTACAGCAGCAACACAGTATCTGTCAAATACTGAGAGTTTCTAACCTCCTTTTCGTGATCACTCGTGTGAAAAATTCTGTTTTTATTCTTTAATGATATTATTTTTATTAATACGTCGAAGTACACGACTAGGTTTCGGGGGGCTTCGCCCCCCGACGCGTCCGGTGGCTTGGGGTATTATAAAATGCGATTCTTTGAAATGTCGAATATTATTATTATTCTTTTGAGTTGGTTTTTTTGTAGTCGGGGGGCTTCGCCCCCTGAACCCCCTGACCGGGGCTCCGCCCCTGGACCCCGTCAGGGGGAGACCCCCCGAACCCCCCCGCGCGATCAGCTAGTAAGTACGCTTGACAGTGGTTCTGTGTTCCGAATCTTATGTATGCGTTTCTCAACATTCTTTTCAGTTATATATGTTTTTCAGTGTCAACGCCTTTTTATGATTTTGTTATGAAAAGTATCGTGCGCAACACGTGTGGCGGCATTTTGGAACTCGCGCTTCTTTTTCGTAACTCGTCTCCGGTGAGGGCGCCTTCGGCGCCCTCACCTACGACTCGTTACGAAAACTTAGCGCTCGTTCCAAAAAGGCCGCTAGTTCACACTTGTTACGCAATGTACTATTTTAAATCTGTGACTCCCACTGTACTTGTTACCCCTAAACCTTAATTATTACCTGCTAAGCTTTTCCTCATAACTGCAAACGTTCTCTATTGTAACTCTCCAACTTCTGGTTTTTAAATCTTCCGACGTTTCTAAATATCATAATTTTAATCTTGCTAGTGTTTACTTCTGGTAGTTTATTATTTGACCACTTCTTTAAGAAAACTTAATTCTTAATAATTTTTTCTCTCATTAATTTTTTTCACAATCATAAAATCTTCTTGTGTAACATTGCCTACTAAGTTTTTTAAAACTATTAGTATTCCATCTTCTACTGCTGCTTTCCCTGATCTCAATTTTCTCAAATTCGAGTCGAAATTTAACTCCTACTTAACCCTTTACCGCCGGGAAGGAAACATATTTTACACAACTTTTAAAGTTATAGTTCTTAACGATTTTGTAGGTTAAAAAATTGGTTAATTACCCTTCCCTATAAAGTTTTTTATCGCTCTTTGAGAATCTGAAGTTTAAAATTAAAAAAAATTTTAAATTGAGAAAGTTGTAAACATTTTTCCGACAAAAAACTCAAAATTTTTACATCTTAATAAAAAAAATGATAAAATGTATCAAGTAAGAATGCATATGCATAAAACCTACAAATATCACAATAAATTTTTTTTTAAATTTAAACTTCAGATTCTGAAAGAGCGATAAAAACTCCATAGGGAAGGGTACCTACCAATTTTTTAACATATGAAATCGTTAAGAACGATGTAATCTCTCATGATTAAAATTAAAACATTATACACTTTTTAATAATATATATTTTTTATAATTTGAACTTCAAATCGTACTTCACATCATAGAGGGAATCCCTTTTATATACTATGAAACAAAACTTCAAAATATTGTCAAAACTTTTACTGTTCAAATGTGTACAGTGCATAACAACAGGTATACACTGCCAGAGTAATAATTGTCAACTGTTGTCCCATCGCCATCTAGTAACAATATTAACTCGATCCGTCACACACAGAGGTCAGTGCTATGGTAAACATTTTACCGACAGAATTGATTGCAAATTTCAAACATTTTATATATATATATCCTTACGTAATAAAATCTTAACTCCTACCCTCCCCCACGTAAGAATCCGTAAGGTTTTTATACACCACTCCCCCCCTTGGTTCTCCTCTCTACCTCACACGGCTTACAACTCTCGGCTCTCCTCTCTACAAATGTGTACGAGTTGTTTGTAATATGGATAGCCGATGCCCATAATCTGAGCCGCTGCTATACTCGTAAAAATTTTTGGTAAGCGCTGTATTTTTACTGTGCAGCGGCGTTTCTACAGGCTACGTATAGCAGCGGCTCAGATTATGGGCATCAGCTACCCATGTTACAGGCAACTCGTACACATTTCACATGAGTTAGGCATTTGCGTACAGCACGTGCGCTGTTAATGGGCATCGCCTATCCCGTAGTTGCATACCAGCTACACATAATGCATGGACAGCAGCGCGTGGCTACACGGAGAGAACTTTGAACCATAAAAGATAATGTCAAATTCAGAAGGTTAAAAGAGGGGGAAGATCACAATAAATCTGAGTAATCTCACCGAATTTTTCCATTTTTTCCATTCACGAATCGCAAGTGGCAGTGACAGTCACCATCAGAGAGCGCGCTACATCTTGTAGAAAATTATGATGAGTTTCCAATCATCGTCTAAGCTTGAATATTCTTAACGGAAATATTTTTTATCCCATGAAAGGACTATGTTATAAGAGTTTTTCAAAAATACTACAAGTGGCTTTTTTGTACCACCTGGTGGGAGGAAAATACCACCTCGCGATTTTAGCAAAATATGTTATTAATTTTGGTATTTTTAATAGTTTTCCTTATTTATATGACAAATAATCTTATTTTTTAAATATTTTAATACATTTTAAAAATTTTTTATCAAGCAAAATTGAATATTATGTTAATTTTTTTTAAATGACTAACAAATCTGTTTAATAGTTTTAAAATAAAATTCAAATGATTTTTTCACCCCAATCGAGTTCTATCATAAATAATTTAAAGAAAAATACTTATATTAATATAAAACAAATTTATTTACATTTTATTTTTCAATTTTCCATCTTTAAAAATAATGTTTCTCTTAAAATTAATTATTTAATCTATTTCCAAATCCAGTAATTGATCCTTCCAATCCTAATACCACTCCAAGTACATCAACCTTTCAAAATCATTCAGAAGAGGTACAACATGAAACTGGAACACATCTAGGTAAGAATAAAAATATTGTAAGCTATGTAAATACGAAATAGTTTTAAAAAATTAAAAATCGCGAAGATACGTATAGCCATCAAAGAATTTAATCATAATTGTAGAATGTATGGGTGATTAAATTTAAAATGTCATTTTTGATCCTACTAACTTTGATTTTTCGATGTTGGATTTTGAACTTTTCTGTTTTCGTTTATTATTTTCTCAAATAAATTCTTACAACTTTAAAAAGTTAAAATATTTTAAATTACAATAATGAATGTTTCAACATGACTTAAAAAATATTTGTAATGAGTTCTGCCATAAATTAATATACTTTTGAAGACCAAAAAGACATATGAACATTGAGGGACACCACTGACATTTTTGAAAGATTTCACTGATAATTTCTTTTAATAATGAGAATAAAATCAGCTTATAAATTACAATCCAGTATCAAATCTTCATTAACTGCATAAAAGGAGTAAATTTAACACAAATTTATTAAAAATAAAATAATAAGCTGCAAGAAACAGAATTTTGAGGAGACACCATTGACAAGGGACACCACTGACATTTTGCTTCATTTCTTAATTTCAAAAAAGAAAGACTTTATTTTTAAGTTAAAGTCAGTGCGGTTTTTAAACTACGTGTAATACCTGAAAATAAGATACAATAATATTTAAAAAATATTAATATTATGAACAAGTTTTCGATGGGGACACTACTGACATGGTGTGCTCGACAAACTGATACTTGCTTTCTGCCACCAACCGTACAAGTTATAGATGTGATAGAATGTTGTAATGTTTTTTCTTTAAGAAGCTATACATATCACCAATACTATTAACGCTTAATAACGCAATTATCGGTACTAGGTTACTTAAATATCAGGCATGATATTCAAAATTTGCGATAATTACTTAAAAATATGAAACTTACGGACAGGCGATTTTGATTTTTTTTCTAGCACTGGATCAAAATTATTCTGTTAGCACAATTACTATAGGGGAGAGGGCCCCAAGGTGGTCAGGGCCCTAAGGTGGTCACCCTAAGAAAATTTTTGTATATTAGTTAGTATCTTCGAATGTTTTTTGTTATTGTTATTATTTGAGAAGACAAAGATTTTAGTAAAGTTTTGAGGTAAATAGTCGTATGAGTCTCGTTGTAACGTGAACGTCGTAAAATTTCTGTTTTTAAATGATCGAGAAATTTTTTTTTCAGGGTGTTAAAATCATCGAAATTAACCATTTTAAATTAGTAAAAATCGTTATAATTATCTTTATATATCGTACAATAATATTCCAAATGAATATAATTAATATTGTGCTTTAAAAAGTTTTTTCATTAACGTTTAAAAAATTGTGTCTTGGCCCTAAGGTGGACACTTTTTTGGCCCCAAGTTGGTCACTTTTGATTTTTTATGAAAATGTGTTTATAGGGGAGGATGGGGCAAGGATAGTTAAGGGGCAAGGATAGTTAGTTGCTGTTATGCTTAGACGGCTTGCTCAAAAATCGCGTAATTCATGGTATATTCGCGTTTTAACACCAAAAGATGATTGTAAAAATTGCAAGTCAATCTGTCACCATTTGCGAAGTTGGGAGTTTATTTTTAAAAAAAGTCTGTTTTGCTAAAATGTCAACGTAATGTTTATCATATTGTTTTCTGCATTACAATTTCAGAATATTTTTTACGTAAAATGTTTTCCGG